CATGCCTTGTTTATACTCCTCTCCCCTGCCTGCTGTCACATACAGGTCCACTTCCATGCAGCGCGGATTGTTGGCTGCATGATTCCTGACTGCTTGTTAGTCCACGTATTGTAAGTGTACTGTGCAGATGGTGTGTTGGTTTAGTTACTCTCTACCTTCCTTTTCCCTTTCTCCTAATGGTCTGTCCTCCCAGGATAGACGGATAGAAAAATTTCTTAAAGGCAGGATGTCACTATGTAGTTTACACTCACTGCATAGACTATGCTGACCTCAGACAGCAGTCCTCCTGCCTCAGCCTCCCAAGAGCTGGGATTACAGGCGTGCACCACCACACCCAGCCTGTCCTCCCAGTATATTAAAATAAAATCTAAAACAAAGAGGCAAAATGTTCCTAGATAGCGTTCCCAGATTTGAAAGGAGTCTCACCAGGTGTGCACACCTGTAACCCTAGTACTTGGGAGGCTGAGGCAGGAGGATACCTGAGAGAGAGTCCAGGGCCAGCCTGGACTACATAGTGAGACCCTGTCTCAGAAAAAGATAAATAAAGGGAGCCCTTGGGAATATTCTGAACTAGTATTGCATGTCAAGTGTCCCTTTTCAAAGCGATTTGGACCAGAAGGGTTTCAGATTTTGCATTTTTTCAGACTTTGGAATATTTACACATCCATAATGAAATATTTAGGATCGGGAGCCGAGTCTAAGCACAAAATGTATTTGTTTCACAGATACACGATTTAAAGGTAATTTAATGCCACATTTAAAATAACTTTTTTGCATGAAAAATGTTTCACAGAATGAGATTTCCCACTTGTGGCAACATGTTGGTCTCTGAAAGTTACAGGCCTTGGGGGGTCTTGGGTTTTCAGATTGGGGGTGTTCAATCTGTGTCAGTACAGCGCTGTTTTTAACCAGAGTCTAAAATGTTCTGGGGGAAGATGCTAAGGGAGGGTGCTGGCAGCCGCAGGGGAGACGAGCCCCAGATGTGGGGTGGCCCTGTGCAGCTGACGGGGTTAGGCGAGCTGGGCTCAGCCCTGTGCACCAGCAGGAACCTGCTCGTGCTGCTCTTTAACGTCCTGTAGAAAGACACAGCTGCTTACAGCAGTCAGGGATGCTGACCCTGTTAGAGCTGTCAGGGATACAGACTACAGACAACCCCCCGGGGGAGGGCTACAGCTCCCCACAGGTGGCTTGGGGGATCCCTAGGCCTCGTGGGGCATCAAATGCTTGATTCTGTTCTTCACTGACTGCCTTTGAAATTGATTCATTATCAACCTTGGTGTAAATCTGTAACTAGTATCTGCTAACTTTTAAAACTTGGCCTTTATTGTTTTATCATAAGAAATACTCCACCGGCACACGTCTTACTGGTACTTTTCACTGCAGGCTCCTCCCACAGCCTCGTCCTGTCTCATCTCATTCGTCATAGTTCAGTGTTGGGGGGTCCTCCTCATCCCACGCCTTCTTGGACAGGAGACATGCTGTATTTATAAACATATATGTGCAGATGCACAGTTCCCTTGATAATAAAGACTCTACATATGGTTCTGAAACTTATTAACTAGCATATGTATTGGTAAAAGAAATACAGAACTGTTTAGACTGCCTTGCATCCCGAATCTCTAGTTTCCCTTCTGTTTTTGGAGACAGGGTTTCACTATGCAGTTTATGCTGGCTTTGTAGTCCAGGCCGGCCTTGAACTCCCAGCGATCTTCCCGCCTCAGCCTCCCTCCCAAGTGCTGTGATGCCATCCCCTGGCTAGTTCTCCTCCTTCAGAGGCCATTGTTTGGCCTTCCAGACTATCTTTTTTTTTTTTTTTTTTTTTGTAACATAATGGGGGCATGCTATATTCAGTTCCTTGTTGCTATTGCTGTCTGTTCTCCCTGCTCCATTTTTGGGGTTAAAACTAATTTGAAGCTTATTCCATATCAGATAATTCATATAAACACTTGTGAGTTCCCGGAAATGTTGGCTCCCATTATCAGAACAGAAACAGCGTTCTAGGCTGCAAAATGTTCCATTGCACAGGGCCTTAGTGATGGACATTTACGGTGTTTCCAGTATTTGGCTGCTGTGACAGTCCTGCCCTGCACCTGTGTGCTTGGAATCCCGTGTGAGCACACGAATGTGCCTTGGAAATGGTAGGTGTACAGCAATCAGCTGGCCTTGACACTGCCTGTTTACCTTCCCGGCAGGAGTGCAGGAGGGTGCCCTGTTCCGAAGCGCCTTTCCACATCTGTCTTTACGGTTTCCTAATCTGAGAGGGCATCTGTTTTAGCTTGCATTTCTTTTACTGATGTGAAACTGGATGACCTTTCATTTGATCGGCTATATTAGTCTGTTATGTCCTTTACCTTTTTTATTTGTCACTTGTGGTTTTACTTTGCAGGTTTTTAGGTTTGCTTTTTTTTTTTTTTTTTTTTTTGAGATAAGATTTCTCCATATAGTTCAAGCTGGGTTTAAGCTCACTGTGCAACCCAGAGCAGCCTCAAGCTTCTGATGATCTTCCTGCCTCAGCCTCCTGAGTGCTAGAATCACAAGCAATACACCACCACACCCAGCTCCAGCTCTAGATTTATAATTTTGTCTGAAAAAATTTTTCCTACTCTAAGATTATTAAAAGGTTACCCTATGTATTCTAATATTTGTAAAATTTTATTTTTAAATGTTTAAATCTGTGCTTAATTGTTAATATTAGATTTTAGTTCATCTTATGTTTGCTTGGATGATTGGATACTGAAATCCCAGCAAAACCAGAAATTGTCAGGGTGTAGCACACAAGATAAGCCTAGCTAATTTGGTGACATAATTAATAATTTCCGTAATTTAAAATTTCCATTTTGCTCCATATGATTTTTGTTTCTCTGATTTTTGAGACAGGGTCTCTTTGTAGTCCAGGTTGGCCTTGAACTCACTGTTCAGGATGGCTTCAGATTTGCTCTGATTCTTCTGCTTCAGCCTCCGGGTGCTGGGGTTACAAACGTGGGTCACCTATCCAGCTGTCCTATGTAATTCTCAGTTTTAAAAAATATTTTGAGGAACTCCTTATATATAGAAGAAAGGCCTTACATTTTACTGATAATTTACCGTTAGCTTAAAAAACGGTATGTATGGGGCCGGGGATTTAGCTCAGCAGCATAAGCACCTGCCTTGCAAGCAGGCAGTCGTGAGTTTGATCCCTGGTACCGATAAAAATGAAAAAGACAAAAAAAAAAAAACAAAAACAAAAACCCAAAAAACAAAAAACCGGTATGTATTGGGCCAGGGATTTAGCGCAGTGGTATAAGCACCTGCCTGGCAAGCGCAAGGTTGTGAGTTTGTTCCCTGGTACAAAAAAAAAAGGTACTTATCCCTAATAGTCGCACTGACCAAAAGGTTAGTATGTGACCTTTTGTTAATGCAGAGGACTATTTAAGGTCACTGTTTCTTGCTTACAACTGTTGCTTCATGGTTTCGATGATGGGCTACTTAGTGACTGCAGGCAAGCAGGTAATGGAAAAAAGACAGTGGTAGTAATTTGACCCAGTGACATTCTGGAGTGGGGAGAGAATTCATTATTATTAATTATTGTTATTTTAATATTTAAAGCCACCAACATTGCTTAGTTACGTTGGTTTGGGAATTTATGATTTTCTAAGGGCTTATGTTACCCAATAATTTGGGTTTTTTGGCCTGCGACTGTTTACGATTTTACTAACTAGCCAACTCTTTTTCTGTGCCAACTTAGCAACAAAAATTGTTCATTTCCTGGGCTACGGTAATCCAACTCAGGTAGTGATGATGTTATTATTTGGTTCTGCCAATTTCTCAAAAGTTTCTGAGCCTGAAGGCAGTGTTTTATGTTCCTCTTTTAAAGAAAACTGTAAACCCAAAGCAATTCTCTTACAATGTTTTGCTGTTGTTGCTAGGAGTAGGTATTTGTGGCCTGGGCTTCTTTGAATCCCAAGCCTTCAAGATCTGATCAAAGAAAGATCCTTTGATACAAAGGTAAAAACTTGAAAAAATTGAGTTGATTTTCCGTCCAGTGTCAGACATGTCCTCTCCAAAGGGCGTCTTAATTTCCCCCTCTCTCTTAGAGCATGTGTTCAGCATACACAAGGCCTGGGTTTGGTCTCCAGCACAAAAACATCTCCACAACAGAACGTTCCCTTCAGGTTCGGTGCTGATGTATTTGTTTGACCATCACTTAGGAGTTGTGCTGGAGGAGATGTAATGGATGGTCTGGTGTTGTACGTAGAGAAACAGAGGACCCAGAAGGTGCCATAACTGTTTCATCATCATAGACAGCGAACGGTGGGCGGCATGGGACTCAAGCCCTGCCTTTGAGGCTCCTGGTCTAGCACACGTTTTAGACTGATGCACTAAGATATCGTCATTTCTTTGTAACTTTCCTTGAGGATCACATAATGCATTTTAAATACTGACCGATGGTAACAGTTTTTACAGTCATTGTGTATAAAGTAGCACTTTACAAGCTCTAGTCCAGATGTGTTAACAGATGTGGAGATGGAAGAGGGGAGACAGCCTAGAGAACGTCTTCCTCTGCTTTTTGAAACAGGGTAAGCTTAGGGATTTTTCGTTCACTTTTGTTTTGTCAGTGCTAGGGGTCAAATTCAGGACCTTGCACAAGCCAGCTAAGGGCCCACCTCTGAGCACGTCCCCAGCCCTACCGGGGGCACTGATGTGTGGAAACACACCTTGGAACAGTGACCTGGGACTCAAGCCTAAGGGGCTGCTGCGCCCGAGTGCACCACTGCCTGGGAGGAAGGTGTTGTTTAATGTTGTTCAGTAAGGAGTTTCTGTAGTGATCTGCGTCAGTGTTTTTATGTCCCTTTCCCGGGTACGAGCGAGCATCAGTGACGAAGATGAGAGCAGGCAAAGGTGAAGAGCAGTCAGACATCTTCAGGATGGTACACACTGGAGGGACCCGAGAGTTAGTGTAGCCCTGTAACGGGTAAGATGAGGCGACCATCCACCGCTGGACCTTAACACGGTGTCTGCAGAACACAGCTGGAAGGCGACCGAAGACAGAACCTCCTGGACGACCTCGTAACGCGAGAGAGACTGCTCCTGGCGTCCTTCAAGAACGAGGGTGCGGAGCCAGATCTAATCAGGTACGATGTCTTCACTTACGAGACCGTTGTGTGGGTGAGGGTTTACGGAAGCTCTTACTGCTGTTTCCTGAATGGCTTACGTTCTTTATGAAAGCATCCTCTGTTCTTTTATAGTGTTTGTCTGTAATTTTCTATCCAGTTTAGCTTTCATTATCTAGATTTAGTAGACCTGGTGTGTTCAGCTGGATCCCAACTTGGGTGGAGAGAAGTATCCTCAGGTAGAATATGAAGTTTAGAGGATTTCTTTTCTATTATTTAGTTGACTTTTCTGCATTGTTAGCTGCCTTGTAAACTCCTGAAGTCACTATGTGTGTGGAAAAGAGAGTTTTGTTTTTTAATTGTCATTGAAAACGTTCATCTTGATAAGATGCGTTCAGGACTTATGGAGGTAGAGCAGGATGGAAGTTGGATTCTCCTGGTTCTTTGCTGGTGTGTGTTTGACACTCTGGGGAGCTGAGAGCAGCTCTGCACTGGACCCTGCTGGACCCTGTTGGAAGACCCAGAACAGGGATCCAGCTTTCCAAGGCTGAGGTTATGAGCTATGATCTTACATCTTTAGATTTGGCTTCCCCCTGCTTCTAGAACTCTCTTCACCTCCTTCTCAGAAAGAGCTGAGCTTGGGAGAGAAGCCCAGTTCTGCCCCTCTTCCTTGCCAGGGATGATGGAGGGAGTTTGTTTTTGCTTATTGGAATAATATAGCTCTCCAAGGGCAGGCGTTTTGACCCCAGCCATGCACTCACTGTGAGGCTGCACCTCAGACAGTTCAATCTGACTGAGTAGAGGGGTCAGGGGTGGGAGACCTCGGGGTTCCCAGGTGATTCTCCTATGCAGCCAGGATTGCAAACCACTGTCCTAGGTGGGGCCAAAGAGGATACAGCAGTTTCTTTCCTGGAGGTTCTAGTCTTGTTAGGAGTGGGCAGCTGTTGCGGTTTGTGTCTAGGTGGCCCCCAAGTCTCATGCAGTCCTGGAGGCAGCTGAATCTAGCGTTTGTGATTAGTTTGTTGTCTAGCGCTGGGGTTGGTGGTTTGAGTGCTGCATCTGCCCAGCGGCAGAGCCAGCATACAATATAGGGAAGGTGGTTTTTTTTTTTTTTTTTTTTTTTTTTTTTTCCCCTCTTTTGCCCTGTTCCCTTTTTCCTTTTGTGTTCACCCTGATTGCCCCTCGGCCAGGCCACCTGCCTTGGAGCCAGCTGAGTATGCACGGAAACCTCCAAAAAACTGTGAGAAATAAACCTTTTGGGTGTCGGGTATTTTGTCTCAGCAAGGAGAGAAAAGTAACCAAGACAGCAACCCAGAGTTTTCAGGGAAAATAAACATTTTAGAAGAAGCCAGAAGAAACCCAGTCGATGAGTCTGGAGCCATGGTCTGTCTCAGCAGTGTCCTGGGCAGTGTTTTAAATTCAGACCAGAGCCCCTGGTGCACCCATTTATTGTGCCCCCCAGAGCTTTCTGACAGTGTTCAGTCTTGTGAGGTGAATGGTTGAAGACCATGCTCTGAGTTGGTGAAAAGAACAGGTAAGCAGAGGAATCCAAACCAAACAACAAATTGCTGTTTTTCAAGGAGTTTTACATCAAAGGAAGAGGTGTTTGTAGTGAAGAAATTAACAAGGGTGGGTTGCAGCCCGAGTTTCCTGGGCAGGTGAGAGTCCAGAGAGCAGGTGGTCAGAACCAGGAGGAAACATTCCCTATTGTTGTGCCTTGCTGTGGTGGAGGAGGTCGTGACCAGTGGTGACCCCTAGCACTTGGGAAGGGCCTAGTAAGTGCCAGACTCCTTTCATTTGTTTGGTTGGTTCTGGTACTGGGGATCGAACCTGGGGCCTTCTCACTGAGCGACATCTCCAGTCCTTTAAATTTTTTTTTTTTTTTTTTTTTTTTTAAGCAGGCATTTTTTTATCTTGCTGAACGGCCCAGGCTTCCGAGTATTGGGATTAAAGGCAGGAGCCATTGCACCTGCCTCAGACTGTGTTTATTAGTCTTCATTAATGGTGTCATTAAGTGATGTTTAATGGGGCCAACCTAAGAACCAGGCCCTAGGAGTGCTGGTGTTTTCCGGCCTCCTCCACCTGTCTTCTGTCCATCTGTCTCCCTCTCATGGGGATCTCTGTACCCCTGCTATTCCAAGCCACCCACAGATGAGCAGTGTCAGCATCCCTGGGAGCCTGCTAGACGTTCAGAGTTTCAGCTCCTACCCAGCCTCCCACATCTGACCCTGCTGTTTAACGGGATCTTCAGGTGATTGGAAGCCATGTTACAATTTGAGAAATACTGCTTTTTATCATCCATTTGTAGTTGTGGCACTCTCACCCAAGAGGTTTACAAAAACAAATCTTAAAAAAGGATAGGAAAGAAAGAAACAAAACCACAAGGGTCTGCTCCATTTACTTGCAGAGTGTGATTAGTAGTCTGGGGTGACGGCTGGGTGGCAGTGGGCTGAGGGAAGCACCCCAGGGGTTCTAGAGGGCTGCAGGGTTCGGGCTGCTCTCTGTCTAGATGCGGCCGTAATGATGCTTGCTGTCTGCTTCCTGTGTTCTAGACACTGCCTGAGCTTTTCATGCACATTTTTTTGGGCTCTCCCTCCAGCACCCCATTTTGCAGAGGAGAAACTGAGCCTGGGATGAGGGGGTGCAGATTCTAAACGTAGTCTTACAGTTGGGATTTCAGGTCCACCCTCCTAAGCTTGGCGCTGTACAAACTGAACCAGGCTGCAGAAGGACTCAGCTCTGTGGCTCACCAGTTCCTCCATCACCCGAGCTTCAAAATCACTGACCTTAAATCAAGGCACGAGTTCTGCCTGGTTTCATTGTTGTTAGGACCTGGTGCGGTAACTGCTGTTTGAAGGCTCTGTGAAGTTTAAAACCTTTTAAAATACAAAGTGATGTCCCTGCGTGGTTGTCTCCCTTTGAGGCTGGGAGGGAGCTCATGGTGTCAGCCAGACGCCAGGACGTCCGTCCCACCTGGCCTCTGGACCACCCCTGCTGCAGGCGTTGCACCTTATGATGCATCGTGTTCTGTCTTCCTCTGCGTCCTGCCCAAATCCCCTCTGTTCCCCTCTGTGATCTTTCCTTGGCGCCCAACTTGCTGCCTGTCATCTTATTGGTAGATTGTCTCATAACTATGAAACCAATGTCTAGCAATGACTTCTATTCTGGAAATACTTTAACCAAAGCCTTCTTGAACCCTAAGATTTGAGCTAAATTAATAGATGAATTTCAGGGACATTGACAGGTTAGCAGCCAAAGTGAATTTTTTTTTTAAAATTTTATTTAAGGAGAAAAGAAAAAAAAAGCAGGGAAAGGGTACAAGTTATACAGATTTACAGAAAAAAAATGAACAGTAGGAAATCACTAGTTAATGGATTACATATTGTCATCTTAGAAATAATTGTTCAAGTCACAAAATTAAAGCTTGTAAAGTGGACATTCCATCAATGATACTGCAAACAGTTCTGTTCATTGATCCAATAAAACTCTGTGATATCATTTTCTATCTTATACACTTAAATATACATGCAGTTATATAGTTTGGAGCACTTTCTTTTCCTCTCTTTTGTACCATGACTATTACACATTTTGGGTTTCATTGCTCCCACGGCTCTTATTACTTTTTTGGAAGAGAGTAAAACCAAATGTGACATAACAGAACAGAATCGGTCAGGTCAAAAGGGTGGACATAATAGCTAATGTAAAAACATAATACAAGGTGATCAACAATGGTTATCATAATGCCTCCCGCTATCTCTAATAGAATTGCTTATATCGTTAGTTATAATACAATTGAACAAAACAGTAAAGAATAAAACCGACAAAACCAAAACATTGGAGACATTGTAGGTCTTCTAAAGTAGATAAAAGTCAACAAGAATGGGCGTCATAATGAATCTCATTATCTTTACAGCTGATGCCTAAACTTTCGAACCTGATACTATCCAGCAAAACAGAATAGGGGAACATCAGTTAAAAACCAGATGGTGAGAGTAATACAGGGCTTTAAATCAAGGTAATGAAAAGTCAAAGTGGGTTACTATAATATATCCTGCTATTTTTTTTCCTTTAATTAAAAGGATAAAGATAAAAAAGTAAATAATGGAGTGGAGATTGAGATAAAAGAGGGCATAACAACAAAACAGCGCAGATCAAAACATAACCATTTAAGCAGAATAGTGTTTCACCACCAGATAATCCTAACCTAAAAGTAGTTACCATATTGTCTCTTTCTTTGAAATCCTTGAGTACAACTTCGTATACTGTAGGATTAAGTATATCAAAACAATGTAAAACCATTCAAGAGAATGACAGCATTACAGAGTATTTAGAATCGACTAACAGAAAATGAACAATGGTTTCTGTATAATCTCCTTGTCTTTAAAAGGTTTTTGCTTATACTATCGTACATAAAAAAATCCAATAAGATACAGCCTATTTAGACCATTGGAGACAGAAGGACAAAAGCTAGATGAGACTTCAAAACAAGATGATACTAAATCAGCATTACCTATTAAGATGTTATTTTCTCCAAAATAGCTGTTCCTATCATCCAATCTTCTCTGCCTCATTTCTGTTGAGCTCTTTTTCTGTCAGTAGCTGTCAGTTTGTCTTCTTCATTTTGTTCTCTGCTCCATTCGTTGTGGCCTCTCTGCCATTATTTCTGGATTCTTTGTATTTTTCTTTTTTTAGAATATCCTGCAATACTCTCTGTAGAGTTGAATTGGTGGTTGCAAATTCCCCCAGTTCCTCTTTATCCTGGAAGCACCTTGTTTTTCCATCAATTTCCAGGGACAGTTGTGCAGGATATCTCAATCTTGGCTGGAGATTATTATCTTTCAAAGCTTGAATTATTTCCCCCCACGCTCTTCGTGATTTGATGGTTTGTGCAGAGAAATCTGCTGTAATTCTGATGGGTGTTCCCTTGTAAGTGGTCTGTTTCTTGTCTCTTACAGCTTTTAATATTCTGTTCTTGTATTGAATTTCTGGAATTTTTATTATTATATGCCTGGGTGTTGCTCTGTTTGGGTTGTAGGTAGCTGGGGTCCTGTATGCCTCATACATCTGAGTATCTTTACCTTTTGCTAAATTAGGAAAATTCTCCTGGATTATTTCTGTGAGTAGCTTTTGTAGTTCACTTGTTTGTGTCCCTACTTCTTCTTTTATGTTCTTAATCCTTAAGTTATGGATCCTCTTATCATCTTCTTGTCTTTGTATTATTGCTGTTTGTTTCTTTGTTATTTTTAAGAAGTTTTTCATTTCATTCTCCCATATTACAAGTCTGCCCTCCAGTTCAGATAGTCTGTCCTTAGTTTCTTTCAAGCTGTTATGCCAGTCTTCTATAGACTTCTTAGTATCTTGGTAGTCCCTTTGAACCTGCTTCACGTATTCTATGCTTTCTCTGTTTTCTCCATCAAGCAATTCTCCCCTTTTTTTCTGTTCTTCCATTCCACCACCTGTTTTTTCTTGGGTGGTACTTAACATTTCTTTAACTATTCTGCATACTTCTAGCTTCAGGTCGTTGATAACTTCATTCCTGATCTATGGGGCTCTCTATATGGTGCCTTATATGTATTGGTGCGGTGTCTGCTATTGCCTGTTTCTCAGAATTGGGGGCCGAGGAGCCTTTCTTGTTGCTGCCTCTTCCCATGCTGCCTCTTCTTCTCTGTTCCTTATATATGCAAGCTTATATAAGAGGCCCAGCTTCTCTCCCAGTCAGCCACAGCTTGATCGAATTGCGCCAGTTAGGTGTTCCCGCTTACCGCTGCGCACCAGGGAGTTAAGGACCAGGCAGCCTACGCGTCTCCCCTCCCGGCCACCGTCAGGCTCTGGGATCTGAATTCGGACAGCCTACCGGGTCCGCCGGCAGCGTCACGCAGGCCAGGCACTTTTCACCAATCCCGCCCGAGAGGGGGATGTGTGGCTGGAGTCGCCACTGCGCCCTGCTCCTGCAGGACTGCTCGGGCCCAGAAAATCCTCTGCTGGAGTCAAACTGTGGTAGAGTGTCAGTTTCTCTCACTCACCTCACCACAAGTCAGTGCACGCCTCCCTGCCGTTTGCAGATTGCCGTTCTCAGAGCTTCTGCGCGTCTCTCTCCTTGCCGAGCCACTGTAGAGGCAGCCAGCCTCCGCGCGGTGGGAAACCCAAATCGCGGCTTACAATGGCGTGGGGTCCAGCCTCCACACCGAGGCTTTTCTGTTCATGTTTTAGCACGTGGAGTGCATTCCAAGTTGATTTCTCTCAGCCCAGTTCGTTCCTGAGTCAGCAGAGCATATCTCCACCTGCTTATGTCTCCTTAGTCCGCACCATTCCTGGCTTCTGAGCCGAGTCTTTCAGAGAGCCTCCGGTAGTTGCTGTTATCTGTCCGCCATGTTCTCCCGGAAGTCCAAAGTGAATTTTTTTTAGTACCAGGAATCGAACTCAGGACCTTGCACTTGCCAGGAAAGTGCTTTGCTGCTGAGCTACATCCCCGACCCTGTTTGTTGTGGGTGGAAGGTAAAGACATCTAAGACCCACCACTACAACTGCCTCATACTCTTTTCCGTAAGGCCGATGTGCAGAGCAGACCCCAAGCGATTGCTGGTTGGGTTGTTGGAGAATGGTTGCAGTTGCCTGGGAACAGAGAGACCAGGCAGAGTAGAAACCATGAAGCAGCGGTGTCCACAGTGTGGAGGCTTGCAGTAACTTAAGCGGCTGGCCAGGCTTATTTATATGTAGTCAGGGTGCAACCACAAGCTACAGACGGTGGCTGGACTCTTGTTCAGGAATGGAAGGTTAGAGTAGTGCAGAACAAGTTTTCAGAATTCTGTTCCAAACGTGCATAAGCACTGTGGAGGAGCAAGGACTCCTGAGGAGCCATGAGAAAGGTGCAGATGGCCACGCCAGACAGTGATGGTCCCTCCCGGTGACACGGAGTCTGGCCAAGAGGAAGCGACCACCATGGCGATTACCAGTTGCCATGAAGAGATAAAATTCGCTGCGGGTATAAAAGGGAAGGAGAGTGCTAGATGACCTGGAGGGGGACTTCCTTGCTCGCTTTGCTGGTGACCCCTTAATAGGTTCCGATCGCCTTAGACACATGTACCCACCGATAATGTGTCTGCATATCTTTGTCCAAAAACTGCAAGTCTTGAAGAGGTCCCTGGGGGCCGGTCTAGGCTGTAAGGAAAGCTGTGCTGCCAAACAGCCACTCTGGATACTGGAGCTCTGCTGACGAGCTACAAGAATGGACGAAACACACAGTCCAGCTGGCCAGTGCCACTGGAGACTTACGAACAGTGACCTTATTGGTGACTTGGGGAGAAGAACGTTAGAGCCAAGTGGCTTGTCGCAGCTCCGAGCTCAGAGCTGCCGGTCTGTGATTTGAGTTGGCCGCCTGCCTGTGTCAGAGCTGTTTTTGCCCTCGTGTCTCTGATCCCCACCCTTGAGGTCTCCCCTCCCTCCCGTTTCCTCCTTCTCATCTCTGATAATTCGGAGGATCTGAATTTGATGGCAGACACGACCAGTTTGGGGTCCTGCCTTGATCGTGAGCTTTGCATCCTGATTGTAGGGCTTCCAGCTCCTGTAACCTTTCAGCGTGTGGCCCGGAGAAGCTTCATTCCCTCCTCTGCCTCTCGGCTTTCCTGGTACCGCCAATGATTCGTGACCGTTTTCTCGGTCTTCTCCATTATGAATCGCTAACCCTGGGCTGCTCCAGCGTGTCTGTTGGCTTCTGCTTTCTGGGACAGGGTCTCCCTATGTAGTTTAGGCTGACCTTGAATTCACCGTGCAGCCTCGGCTGGCCCTGAACTTGGATCCTCTTGCCTCAGCCTCCTGAGTGCAGGGATTGCAGGTGTGTGCCACCATTTCTGGCTGGCTTCTGTCGTTCTTGACATTAGGTAACTTTGCTAACTTTGGGAGGAGATTTGTGGGGTCATATATGTCTTTCCCTTAGGTTATGAGTCCAACACACACTAGTCAGAAAGCACTGTCAGAACTTGAAAATGTTCAGACGTGACTGCTGTGACATATTTTGTGATTCATGTCATATTGTTCCTGTTAGAGAACTGAGGATAATCTGCTTGTCAATATTGCAAAGCCCAGCAAGTGTCTTCTGGCAATCACTGAAGACGAGCTCGCCACATTGGGACTGGCGTGGAGCCCTGTGAGTCTCTTTCTTAGGTCCCCTGCCTCAGTTTCCCTCCTTCCTGTCTGCTGTGTGCAGTCTTCTCTTCCTCCCCATTTCTCATTCCCAGTTGTCCTCCTCCCCGGCCCTTTCCTCCTCTTTTCTCATCTTCCTCAGATGTGGTCTTATTAGGGAGAGAAGAGTATTGTCCAACATCAGTTTGGATTAGCGTTTCCCTTAAACAGACATTCATGTGCCAGTGGCGTAATTGAATGTGTCACTGTCATGTGATGGAATTGTCATTCTACCTCGAGGATTACTGGTCATTATTCTAACACAGCAAGCCTCGGTCTAAATAAGCAATGGGTGACTAACTTAGGGTATTTGGAAACTTGTTAAAGAAGTCTCTGTGCAACAGTGTCTTTTAGAAGAAGATAAGCCCTGATTTAGAAAGCAGTGACACAGCTTCTGATTAAAAGCTTACTGCCCTTTATAGTGGAGAGCGTCGCTAAGTCTTACAATTAGTTAAATCTTTGTAGGGAGAAAGCAGAATCATTGCATACTCCACTGCTCTGGCTGTCTCAAAGACCATGTGATTAGCGCAGCTGTAGTGGGTGGCTAATTAGCTGAGCTTTAATCTTCACACCACCAACCACTAGAGGATTATAGGGAGCAGGAAGTTACTGAGAGTTTTGAGATGGTAGTTATGTGTCAGGATGGGAACGTTAAAGTCAAAAGGAAATGATAATTAAATGTTCTCATTGTTCTTAGAGTACAAATTCTTTTAATTTTGGGTATATACATTTCCCTTGAGATACTGAAGAAAGCATGGCATGGTCAGTATATATTTCATATCACTCCACGGGTAGCCCAGATGGGCAAAAGAAAAATTTTCATTACATCTTACATCAGAAATACTCCCTTGCTGACTTTAAAACATTGACTGTTTCATTTTGGGATAGCACTTGGTTTGTAGGAAAGATAATTTGTACCTGGCAGTATATTTTCCTAAAGAGTCATGCTTTGTACTTACCAATGTTGTTAATCCATAACAGACGTGCCCTTCTGGGTTTGGGAAGTTGTTCAGTAATGTGCACCCACATTATCATCCAGCTCACGTGAGAGAATGAACGGGCCATAAATACTCCAGAAATATGCTTCTAGCTTTACTGACATGAAGGGATATGCTGAAATCAGTGAGCCCAAAGGCAGGTGAGCCAAGGAGGCTTGGTAGGTAGTCAAAAATATCTTAAAAATTCCTTTCTAGTTCAGAGAAAAACAGGGAAGGAAGCAAGAGTGGTGTGGTTCAGGGGTGCTTTCCTTAGCTAGATTTCTACTGGTGCCTGCTGTCAGGCACTGGCACTGGAAATGTGGCACAAGCCCCAGTGACAACGTGGACGTAGTTTTTGTGGCTCAGCTGAGTATAGTCTAGTGAAATACGCACTGTACAGTGATAGAAAATTTAAAAATCACATTATGAATAAAATCAGCAGAAAAGTATATTGTACTTTGAGAGATTAAGCAGGGAGGAGATTGAGTTGGGGGACCACATGGTGTAATATTTTTATGAGTGTATCATTGTTTATAAGTATGGTGTCGTTTTGTCCCTTTGTGGAGATTTTAAATACCTTAAAGGTACTGATTAAGCTCACCTGAGGCTTAATGAGCGTTCACTCAGTAAATGAACATCGTTGAATATTTTTGTGTGTGTTCAGCCAGCAGAGTTTGGTGTGTAGTGGGCAAATTTTCAACTCAGCAGATTTTTGTTAACTAAAGATTGACCCTGACGGGATGTGAAAGACCGTGCTCTGATCCTAAACAGATCTGGGACAGCTGCCTCGCCCGCTTCGTGTCCAGTCTGGTGGTTCTGCTGGACGGGTCCCGCAAACCATGGCTCAGAGTCAGGCTGTTCCCGCCTCCCAGCTCCACGTTCCCCCGGTGGAGCAGAGAGACAGGAGAACTCGCACGTCTCCCATGCTCTGGCCCGGACGTTCCTTACATTCAGCCCGTTGTCCATACCAGTCCCGTGGTTCCTCCTGACCGAGGGAGGTAGGGACGGTCATCTTTCTCTGTGCTCCAGAAGGAGCTGGAGTGGGACAGGGGGCGGCATTGGCTGTGTCTCCCTCACTGATTTTTTGTAATTGGATGAAAAGATAAGTAACTGTGGTGTAGTATTGGGCCGGCAAAGACTAGACCAGAAGTTAATAGAGGCACACAGGGTGGGTGAGGGGTAGCGTTTGCACATAATTTATAATGCCCATCCTAAAGAGTTCAGCAGGTAAGGGAAATACAAAACCAAAAATCAGTAAACAAAAAAGTCATATGCAGTGTAGTCAGTCGAGCCAGTATGCAGATGTCTTATGAGGACTGCGAGGGCGCATTATTTCCACAGCAGTGGGAAGAGAACCGAGCAAGGGTGCAAATCAAGAAGACGCGTTTGTTCTGCCCACTGTAACCAACCTTTGTGATGAGGGCGCCTGGGCGCATCTCCACTAGTCCAGCAGCTAGGGTTCCCGCAGGCACATTGTGACAGCTGCTGCCATGCAAAATGGTGTAAATACAGGAAACCCAAGTTCCAGGTTCGAAAAGCGAAAAGGGTGATTAATTTGGCAGCCCAGCGATGCCATCTGTGCTCCCGGAGGCTTCTTGGTGTCTCTGTTTTACTGCCTTCCTCGGACTGTTGGCTTTCTCCTCCGCCTGACTTCTCTCCTGGTCTCACGGCAGCTACAGCAGCGTCCAGCCACGCTCCAGGCGCTGCATACTCCAGTGGGGTATGGTGGAGATGTTTTCTCATTCAGGACATAAGATTCTGTGACTCGTTTTTATAGCCTTAGAACCGTTTAATGTGTGCATGATTGATTTAAGTAGCTCATTTACAGATAGGGGTAGTCTCAGTCTTTTTGTGTTTTAAAAATATAACAGTGAAACATTTAAAGCATAAAGGATTTCACATGTGTCAGAGCATCTCTGGGAAGTGGAATGGCCAGGTCTAGGGCATCTGCATTTGCGGTTTTGGTAGCATTTGGAAGTTGTGCTTCGGAGGGCTAGAAGCAGTTCAGATTTGTGCCAGCAGTTTATATGAGAGCCTGCTTGCCTGAGGCCTTGTTAAACTTTTGTGTCTTCAAGCTAACATCTGTGAATAGTTTCCTCCCATTAACAATAGCTTAGTAAAGGTTACGTAGTTACTATAGTTAATTATAGTGAACTAAGGTTGCAAAGAAAGCCTCCTGAGTTGTTACTAGTACTTTCGTTTTATAACAAATATTTGACATGTTTGAAATTTAATTCATAAAGAGTACAGTATGCTGCCTGGTACTCTGTTTTTGTGTGTATGTGCATTTTTTTTATTGAGGAGGTCATCTTCTTCTCATTGTCAGATTTGATATGCTGGCTTTATCTTACACATTCCTAGGGACCAGCTTTGGTCTTAATGATTTTCTCCACACTCAGAGAACCATGGTGGCTCCCTGTGCTTGTGCTAGCGCCATATTATTTTAGATATTGAGATTTTCAGTTTTAATATGTGACAGGGCTAGTATCCTGTCTTCCGTCTTATTTTTAAGAGTTTTGCTTTTTTTTTTATATGAACTCTATATTGATCTAATCTGATTCCAAAAAGGGGGAGAAAATTGCTTTTTCTTCCCCTATAGTATTTTTTCAAGTAAGATCAATACACTTCTGGTTAACTTTATTTCTGGTTATTCTTTTGAGTTGCTACTTTAATTCAGGTTTTTATTCCACCATGCTTTTCAGTTGTTTGTATGAAAGTTTTTGATACCTAATACCTGCTGTTAGTACTGTGGCCACTTTCTTAGTTCTCTGATTGTTTTTAAAATTTTTTCTTTTGATTCTCTTACGTTCTCCAGGGACGTGTGTCTGTCCGTGTGTACCTGACTTTGACTTTTAGGAGAAATAGTTCTGTTATGTTATACCAGCAACCGAGAGCGCAGGGCTGCTCTGAGGCAGCTTCTTTTCAGTTCACCTGCATTTTCCGAACCGAAGCTGAGAAAGGAGTCTTATTCTCTGGGCGGCAGAGCACTGACGGAAGCTGAGATCCTGCACGTGGGTGAAGGGAGGTAAGAGGCTGGCTGGGCAAACTGCAGAGACTGCCTCAGCTCTGGCCTGCAGCTCCCTCCACATCAGCACTCTCATTCTGAAGCTTCTTGAAAAACCAAAGATTTAAAGTTTTTCACGTCTTGAACCTCGGTGAGCATCTTTATCTCAGAACTCAGTGGTCCTCAGAGTGTTCCGTGAAGTGGGGTGGGGGGGACCCTTTCCAGGCTCATTCTATGAGACAGCATCTCCCTGATACCAAAACTGGACAAACACAACAAAAAAAGAAAACTGTAGATCAGTATCCTTGATGAATATAGATACAAAAGTCCTTGATAAAATATTTGCAAACCAAGTCAGCAATACATTGGAAGGATCATACAGTGTGATCAAGTTGGCGTCATTCCAGGGATGCAGGGATGGTCCAGCATACCCAAGTGAATAAATATGATACACCACATAAGTAGAATCTGAGCTAAAAATGATATGAGCCTCAAAATTGTTGTCAAAAAAGCCAGCAGAATCCTACATCTCTTCATGATAGGAGTCCTAGAGAGACTTGATAAATCCGTTGTTTTGTGTTTGTGCAGTTTTGGGTGGTTTTATTTTGTTGGGTTGAGACAGGTTTTTGCTATGTGGTTCAGGTGGCCCTGAACTCACTGTGGAGCCCAGGTTAGCCTCAGCTTGCAGCAGTCCTCCTGCCTCAGCCGTCTGAGTGGCCAGTATCATTTTGATTGGGGAAAATTGGAAAACATTTCCTCTCAAATCAGGAATGGGGTAAGAATGTCTACGCTCACTACTCTCATTCAGCGAGAGCAGTTTGGCGAGAGAGAGAGAGAGAGAGAGAGAGAGAGAGAGAGAGAGAGAAAGGATACAAATAAAAAAGGAAGAAATCAAGTTATTCTTATTTGCAGATAATATTCTCTACTTACAGGACCTGAAAGACTGTAACAAAAGGCTTGGCGAGTTGATAAATTTTAAAATGT